TGCAAAACGATGTAATATACCAGGCCACTGTAAAATCAGATGATAACGAAGAAAAATATATATATATGGGAGTAACTGAAGGACCCCAGAAACAAAGAAACTTCACAAACAAAACATCCTTTACAAATAGTAAATACGCGAAAAGTACAAAGCTTTATAAATATATCTCGGAGATTAAAAACAAAAAGCAAATCACACCATAAATATCATAAAAAATAAGGAAAAGAACATCAGCCTACAACAATCAATCTAAAAACTTTAAATTATACCTGGGGAAAAATATAGCTGTAATTACCTTCCCACACCAAAACAAACTACTAAATAAACTATCAGAACTCATCTCAAAATGCAGATACGAAAACAATTTTTATTACGTTACTTAAAAATCGAAAACTGAAAACGAAAAGAATAAATGAAAATGAATAAAATAAATAAAATAAAATAAACAAAGACAAGTAAAATAAATGAATCCAAACAAACAACTAAATAAACTAAGTATATAATAAATTAACAAACAACGCCCACCAAAATAACCGTTATAATAATGCAATAGACTACACATAATGCAACAGAATACCAACAATACATAACTGATCTGTATATATATAAAAATTCGAACAAAACACAACGCACATGGCCTGACGATTCACAATATTAATAGGCAATAGTATGGCCTCTCATTTTTACAACTTGCTGCAATCGTTTTCTAAAGTTTTTGATGAGATTTGAACAAGACTTTTCTGAGATTTTCTCCATTCTTCAATGGTTACACGTTCTAATTCCTGAACGTTTTTTGGCGACCGCCGATTTATTCGAACTTTCAGTTATTACCATAGGATTCAAGTCAAGACTCATTGAAGGCCATAGCAGAATTGTAATCTTTTTCTGATTAAGACGTATGTTTGGAATCATTAAAACCTCACCTTACTTGCGGCAAATCTTCTGTACATCATTATGTCAAAAACAAAAAATCAGTTTTTGTTTCATTACTTCATAGTAGTTTTTCCAAAAAGCAATTTTCTTTGTCCAAGAACGTTTTGGTAAAATTAAAATCAAGCAACAATGTGACATGGTTTGTGAAAAGGGGTTTGTCGTGTTGTATAGTGTGAGTAATTACGCTGATATTACGCTGCAATCGTTTTCTAAAGTTTTTGATGAGATTTGAACAAGACTTTTCTGGGATTTTCTTCCATTGCTCAATGATTACACGTTCTAATTCCTGAACGATTTTTGGCGACCGCCGATTTATGCGAACTTTCAGTTATTACCATAGATTTTCAATAGGATTCAAGTCAAGACTCATTGAAGGCCATAGCAGAATTGTAATCTTTTTCTGATTTAGACGTATGTTTGGGATCATTATCTTGTTGGAAATTAAATTACTGATCTAGATGAATATTTTGCGCTCATATTTGTAGATTTTCATCCAGAATTTTGATATAGTGTGCAGATTTTAATATTCCTCCTATTGCAATTAATTGTCTAGTCCCCCTTGAGCTAAAACAACCCCAAAATATCATCGAGCCGCCTCCATGTTTTAATGTTGCCACTGTTTTCTTTGGGAAGAAAACCTCACCTTCCTTGCACCAAATCTTTTGTACATCATTATGTCAAAAAAAAAAAAAAATTTTGTTTCATCACTTCATAGTAGTTTTTCCCCAAAGCAATTTTCTTTGTCCAAGAACTTTTTGGTAAAATTAAATCAAGCAATAATGTGACATGGTTTGTGAAAAGGGGTTCGTCGTGTTCGGTTTCAATACAACTCATTTCTATTTGAAAAAAAAAACCCCAAAAACGTTGTATAGTGTGAGCACTTACGCTGATACCCATCGTATTCAAACATTTGACGATGTCTTTCAAAAAAACTCTTGGGTTTATATTAACCTCGACACAGATTTCGCGCAGTTCTCGGTGACAGTTTGAGTTTTCTTCCACGCCCAGGCAAATTTTCTGTCGTGCCAAACTGCTTAAACTTCTTTTTAACGGACTGTACCATAGATTTAGGAATAGGTAACCGGTTTGAAATAGTGCTGTAACTATTTCCCGACTTGTTGAAGTTAATAATTCTAAAGTCAAACGTTATTCTCCTTTGTCTTCCCCATTGTTATGGAGTGATTTCACCGTGGAGGCTTGTATTTGTACTAAGTCGGTCCTAAAATAGGTTCGACGTACAAAACGTTAGGAACTTTATATAATAGGTATAACGCAGAGTAATCTAGTTGTGGTCGCTGATACTTTTGTGGCACAAGGCCTTTTTAACGTGGGCTTTCCGAGCCCGTGGGCTCGGCCAAAAATATGCCCATTGAACCCGTATAAACGGGTTCAGGGTCGGTTTACCTCCCCGAATGAGAATCCGCCCTTCGGCGTAGCCTCTTTCGGGTTCCTCCCTGCCCGAAGGCAGAGAGTTCAACCGAACAGTCGCTCAGAAAGTACTGAGTCGACTGACGATATTCAGTCACCCCCCCACGAGGGTGTCATGTGGCACAAGGCCTTTTTAACGTGGGCATTCCCGACCCATTAGGCTCGGCCCAAAAATAGCCCATTTGAACCCGTATAAACGTGTTCAGGGCCGGTTTTACCTCCCCGAAGGAGACTCCGCCCTTCGGCGTAGCCTCCTTCGGGTTCCTCCTGCCCGTAGGAAGAGAGTTCAACCGAACAGTCGCTCAGAAAGTACTGAGTCGACTGACTGACTTGTTACTCTTACTACTCTTACTTATTATAGGTGGGAGAGTCTATTAACTATAGAATAGGTGTGTTCCACTATAACATCCATCGTGTTGTTCATGAAAGAATAACAATGGTGTCACTCTGTGCACCATGTGATGTTCTTTGCTGGAATTATCACAAATATTCTACTGAATAAACAGTCTAGAAGGTTTCACAAATAAAACAATTATGTAAATTACTCATACTTACACGAATCAATCAATTTAAAGCAATATTTTCAACTCTACGAATAACTTTGTCTTTTCCTATTTTGCTTAATTCGCATGTCAAATTCTTTTTCTATTGTTCTGAAAATTGAGTTTTGTATTCCTTTTTTCTTCTTATTAATATATAAAAATATATGGCATCATACGGGCATTACATTCTGCGAAATGGATAAAAATATTCAAAATTAATCTGTGTACGAATAATTTCGTCGTTGACTATATATATATATAGATAGATACAGTCTTTTAGACTAGATGAATTACTTAATTATAATTATCTCAAATTCTCCTAATAATTTCTATCACTTGTATATCCTTGCTTGAACCGGCTTCTAATGCTCTGGATGAAGCGGCTTGGTGATAGTAATCGTGGCTCGTGTGGGTACAGTCAGAATATTTGATCGAGCGGCGCTATATCGAGTCTGATTCGCTACCTCTTCGTCACCGAGGGCCCGTTGGAATAGATGGTATGACGTTTGCCTGATAACGTAATTGTCCAGCTTGCAATTCTCAGTAGTGGATGCGCACTGCTGATGAGTCCCAAATATTGCACGAAACGGCCGTCCAGTGCTTTCTGCATTCTGTTGAGGTTTCTTCTAGACTCGATGAATTGCTTAATTATTATACATACATATATAGATAGATAGATAGTTTTAAGGTATGCTATATTTATGGGTTAAACAGCTCAATATCAGGAATAGGACGTATGTAAATATAAAAGTGGACAATGAGATAAATTTTGTGCATTGACGGACTCTGATTATTTGAATCTTTGTATTCATATATATTAACCAACCAGGGACATCGTACGAGACGCGAGGTATTCTTTGAATGGAAAAATGATAAAGTATCTTATTGTTGAAACTTGACTAATGCATGGAATAATAATGCAACACAAAAGGTACTTAGAACAAAATGTACTGAAACAAGAAAGTGTACACAATATTTACATATAGTCTTTTGTATATTCCTGGTAAGACCGTTCCTGGAGAATGTGTTGACTGAGTCGCAGTCGGGCAGAGTCTCGGGTTGAATCTCTTGATTTCTCCCTCTCTTCCCGGTACCAACCATATTTATATGGTCGGTACTCCACTATGCAAATTAGGTGGATCCTACAACAACACTTATAATAAAATTTTACATTCACCTACAAAATATGTCTAATAATAGTTTTCTACCATAAAAGGAATATTTAAATATATATATTAACCAATTGCTTGAGGTTAAGAAATCTAAATTTTAGATTCATCGGAGTCTACCTTGTTATTATAAATATGATCAGTTATTGTTTGTTAACTAGTCTTTCAGTTAACCTTTGACCAATGTGTTTGTTCGACCGTTTGTCACACAAATGAAACTGAAATTCTCACAATTAGGTACTCACATATTTCGCATATTTATTCGAGTATACAATATTACAGAAATTACGTTTAATGATAGCGACGACACTCCGCTAGCTTTTTTTAAATGCTGCAACAGCACCGTCTAGTTTTTTTCTTGCCTTTCATTCATAAGGTCGACAACTAGAATTCATACACACTAGACCTGTTACATAGATCTAGAAGACCTGTTACATACATGTGCATATATGTAGGCGCATCGTATACTAACGCAAGTCATTCAGTTGCATTGTAAAGAAAGACACACAAAGCATTTTGTGTGAAATTATATCTCAAAGAATCTTGTAATTCATTTCTTTCAATTTGAAAGAAAAATAATACTCAAATAAACTTTTTTTTTTAAAGATTCGTAGATCCGTGTTTGAAGATTATTATTTCTTCGTTCATACACTCATATTTCACTGCAACACAGATTGATAAGGCATTTAATGCGACATACATATGGTTCTAATAATTAATACTAAAAATAGCCAGGACACAAGATGTGTGTATGTGTGAAGAAGAATTTTCTCTTTAAGAGAAGACGAAAAATAAACTAATAATTGGAAAATATTCTGCATTCCAGTTTCCAGCTTTTAATGGTTGGAGAATATGTCAACATCGGATACTGTAATAGAAGACAGACAATGAGATAAAGAAAACTAGCGAAAATACTGAATGGGAATAGAGGTAGCCTCAGGATTGTAAAAATCTATCTATCTCTCTATCTATCTATCTATCTATCTATCTATCCAGATGTTCTTTATCTATCTAACGATCTAAGTTTCTTTCTTTCTTTCTTTCTTTCTTTGCTTTCCGTCCTTCCTTCTCTCTTTCTGTTTCTTTTTCTAATTATTATTTAGTCGATTCATATCTATCTATCTATCTATCTATCTATCTATCTATGTAGATGTAATTTATCTATCTGTCTGTCTATCTATCTATCTATCTATCTATCTATCTATTTAGATGTAATCTATCTATCTATCTATCTATCTATCTATCTATCTATCTATCTCAGCCTCTGTTTATTATCAATCAAGCTATCTCTCTTTCATTCCTTATTTCTCTCTTTCTATCTCTGTCTATCTATCATTTCCTGTTTCTCTACATTCTTGTCACTTTATTGACTTCAAATTGATTACATATACATATACATATACATATTAGAGATTTGTCCGGACATCGTTCTTTTATGACTATTGTTTTACAATCACATAACCTCCCTAGAGGCTTTAAAACCTTTGCTTATTAAGGATCACGATACATAAACAATTATCAATGACTTTCGATTCTTGATAACGACACCATCTTTAGATTAATCCAGGTTTCCCGTCGCACAAAACTTCTTTTTTGCGCACACGAAAACTACTACTCATCGTCTATTATCTATCTATCTATCTATCTATCTATCTATCTATCTATCACTGCCTCTTATCTATCTCTCTATCCCTCTATCTGAATCTATCTATCTATCTATCTATCTATCTATCTCAATCTATTTTTATCAATCTCAATCTTTTCTTATCTATCTATCATTCTCAATCTATTTTTATCTTTTTCAACCTTTTCTTATCTATCTATCTATCTATCTGTGTATATATACATATATATATGTATATATATATGAATCTTTTCCTATCTCAATCTGTTTTATATATCTCAATCTTTTCCTCTCTCTATATATATATTTATATATGTGTGTGTGTGTGTATCTAAATCTTTTCCTATCTCAATCTTTTTTTATCTATCTATCTATCTATCTATCTATCTATCTATCTATCTATCTATATCTCTCTCTCTATATATATATATGTGTGTGTGTATGTGTTTGTGTGTTTATATCTAAATCTTTTCCTATCTCAATCTTTTTTCATCTATCTATCTATCTATCTATCTATCTATCTATCTATCTATCTATATATATATATATATATATATATGTGTGTGTGTGTCTTTGTGTCTATGTGTGTGTGTGTGTGTTTATATCTAACTCTTTTCCTATATCAAACTTTTTTCATCTATCTATCTATCTATCTATCTATCTATCTATCTATCTATCTCAGTCTCTTCCTATGTATGTATCTATCTATCGATCCATCTATGTATCAATGAGTAGCGCTATATTCAATAAGTTGATCTTTCGATATTGATAAAAAGATTATTTTTATTCTACTTCGCACGAATCCTTTCTGCTCCTGACAAGTGAACGTATTTCTATCGCTTTTGAATGTCGTCAGTATCTTTCTTAATTCGATAATTTCTTTATAATTGATTGATATTTGCACTTTTCGGCCTTCAACCCTTTTCAAAGGCGGAAAATGCGAGCGTAATTTAACAAATTAGAATAAAGAAATTTCTAATCATAACCAATAAAGATTATATTTATTAATTAGTTTAACTCCATTTGAAATTTTTTTGTTTTTGTTGTTGTATGCGACTTTTTACTGGATTGATTTGTAACATCCGCCATTTCTTTCCTAAAATAATTTTATTTTCATTTACATGTGTGTTGCAGCGTATGTATACGATTGATTCAATACGTTTATGTGGTGTGAGAAAAAACTGAAGATAATAACCCGTTTATTTTTATTAAAAACATTCGGAATGAATTTGATAATTAAAAAAGAACCTTTTTTTTCACACGATAAATCAGGGTCTGCTGTTTCGAGAATTATACGAAGTCTTCATATATTTTTTTTCTATGACCAAAACAATAATTGTTTAAAATTGCCGTTTTTCAGTCTATTTTGCCCTATGCTCACTTTTCGCCATAAGTCATTTCCAATGTTTCCAAGATTATCCGATCCAAAAAGTACAGCAGGCACAGAAATTTAAATACCTGGGAATTGTTCTGACATAGAACGGAATGTGTGACACTGAGATCCGAAGACGTATTGAAATGGCCAAAGATGCCTTTCAAAAGTTAAGCAGAGTATTAAGCGACAAGAAAGTTTCGTTGGAAACAAAGAAAAGAGTACTTAAATGCTACGTTGCTTCGTGTCTCTTTGAGAAGATTGTCCAGAATTCATTTGCCATACAGGAGGACAGATATTTACATTAGTCGGACTATTGTTCTCATCTTTGTCGCCATACTTGTCATAACGTTTCGGACGTTGTACGCTCCGGCCTTCTTCAGGTGGTTGGAATTTCGAACTGAACCCTTTATTTCGATCACTGGGGTAGACTGTTCTAGTTCCACGTGCCATGTTTGATGGATGTCAGTTATCAGTTATCTCCTGCTAATTTTCCCTCTCAAAGTTCTCCACTGCCTTAACCAGGTATTGAACTCACCTTCTTTGGGTCTGTCACTGGATCTAACCAACGCCTTTATCCACTGTGCCATGTGTCCTCATGGCACGGACTCAGGAGGACAGATATAACATCGTTTGCCATATAGGAGGTCAGATATCACATCTGTCCTCCTATATGTCAAAGAATGCTGGACATCCTCCGCGAAGATGAAGAAGAGATTCCAAGCAACAGAAATGTGGTACTATAGAAGAATTCTGAGGGTACCATGGACTGAATATATGGCAGTGAATGCTGGACAATCTCCTCACAGATGAAGAAGAGACTTGAAGGAACAGAAATGTGGTTCTACAGAAGGATGCTGAGGATACCATGGCTAAATATGCGAGCAACGACGAGGTTTTGGAGAGGATGGAAACAAAGTGGAAACTTATACTTAACATCAGGAAGAGGCAGCTGAAATCTCTGGGAAACGTAATGAGAAAGGAAGGCTCGGAAAATCTGATACTCACAGGACGGATCGAGGGAAAGAGGGACAGGAGATATCATCGTATGACAGACTTAATGGGCTTTAACAAGTAGATAGTGGGACAAGGTCTGCGAGAAATAACAAAAGATAAAACTTATTAATGGTTACAACTGATTACATTGAAATCGTAATCACGTTCCAAATCATCAGACCTACAAATTCAAAAATAAATCGGAAAATATAACACCGGGTATGAAAAACAAAATTTACTCATTTAAACCGTTATTTAGCCCCTCTCTTTAAAACTTCTCTGTGTTAAATTTTAATCCCCACCTTCACCTTTAGGCCATCCTGTAACTCTTTCTTCGGTTACACCCTCTCTCTAGAGTTTTCATACATTTCACTCTCACACTTATTTCCCACTCCCACACATACACTCTCCCTAAAATTTTGTTTTTTTTATACCCGGAGGTATATTTTCCAATTTCTTTTTGAATTTGTAGGTCTGATGAATTGGATCGTGATTACGATTCCAATGTAATAAATTATAACCATGGAATATTTGTGTTTGAGCCTCTTATATATATATATATATATATATATATATATATATATATATATATATATATATATGCGTGTGTGTGTCTGGGTGTGTGTGTCTATGGGTGTGTGTGTCTATGTGTGTGTCAATATATCGAAAAATAGGAAAGAACAAATTAGGCAAATAATCCAAAGTTCTTTAGTAATTTTGTTTTTATTTTTAAAAAACAGTACTCAATACATAAGTAGAGCCTAAATTACAATTGATTTTTTTCAAATATGATTCCATCGTTACATAAGAGTTCTCATGTTTCAAAAACAAGGTCCAAAACTTCAATACAATTATTAAAATTAAATTGAATTAAAGTATCAAGCTCAGTTTCATCCTCAAGCCGAATTTTTGGAGCCAATTTTTGTGAGCGTACTGGGTATGATGATTCCAATAATTTCCCTTTTTTCTTTTTTTTTTGGGACTAAGGACTTATGACATTTGACGATTTTTTTCGCCTTGTTCTGAGGCTGATGTTTTTACTTCTTTCTTTTTTTACTTCCGATTATTTCCTCGGTTACCATATATATATATATATATATATATATATATATATATATATATATATATATATATATATATAACCAAATTCAGAAAACTGAGGATTTACAAATAATACGGGTGAGATGGGTAAGCTTGTTTCTTCTTTCATGATAAGAATTTTTTCGAAAGAACCGGATGTTTATGGTTTCAAAAGCTTAAAAACTGCACCATTCATCAAACGGTTATGTGGTTTTTAAAATATTTTTTAGAAATCATACTTATTATAAATCGCAGCTTGTGTGTGTCTGTACGTTTATATATTGGATCGGATTTCCTACATTTTTCAACCGATTTCAACAAAACTACACAGGACTACGTAAATTACCTTGCGGTGGTTCTGACAGCGCCAAAATTTGGAAAAACACAATTGTTTTTGCGCGAAATCAATTTGAAAACACGATTAAGAGGCATCGCAAGAATGAAAGGGAGACAACTCATATCGAGTTATACTTATTATAAAACCCAGGTTGTTTGTGTGTGTGTGTTCGTTTATATATGGGATCGGATTTCCTACATTTTTCAACCGATTTCAACAAAACTTTTTGGCAGGTAGTGTTTATTATTGTCTTGCACACTTTTTTTTTATTTTTACATTCAGAATGCTTTAAAAATTCCATTTACAAGACAATTGTTTATAATAAAATTCTATTCAATCGATAGACTCATAACGATTGAAAACAATGTTTTTGTTTGAGTTTGGGTTTGACCAAATCGTAAAAAAACAAAAAACAAAAAAAAACAGACATGCGTGTCCGTCAACCTTAAACAATAATCTTTGTCAATTTTATTTTTCAGTCTTTATGATGGTCGATACTTGATCTATCTCTTACTGTTACATCCCCAGGCAACGCCGGGCTCTACTGCTAGTCATTAATAAAAAAACTCATCCATTTTACGTCCTGGGTATGACGATAAACTACATCCGGCAGCAAAGCCTCTGATCAAGAGACTGGAGGTTTTGAGGATTGTGGTAGCAACTCTTATGCATATACATGTTTGTGTGAGCGTCCTGGACATGACGATAAATTGCATCCGGCAGCAAAGTTTCTGAGCGGGAGGTTTTGAGGAGCTCTTGGAAGGACCTCTTAATTGCAGTTGTTCCCAGGTTCACTGTGACCCGAGGTGGTAGGAGGGACCTAGAAATATGCAAATGTTGAACCCCTAAACTGGGGTCAAAACATTATGAAAGTATCAAAATACATTTTGGTAGTAAGAATACATTTCAATGGTAAAAAAATAATATTACCAGCAATAAATTATTGGAAATGAAAGAGAAAAATTCCTAGGAATACACTTTTAAAAAAATTAAATACCAAAGCTTCCAAGAAAATTAAATTTTGGCCTTTTATGAACCATAATAAGTTGATATGCCGTTACGTAAACTAAATCAATCAAACGGCACCATCTTTTTTTTTATTGTTTGCTTCTTTCTCCTCTCGCGTACGAATTTCCCTTCTCTCTTTTTCAGCACGATTGACATAGCTTTTGAGTTTGAACCGAATAAGTGCATGATTTTCTCTAGTCTTCAGTAACGACTGACAAAAGACAGCGAATTTTTCAATGCAGTACCCACTAGAAGCTAACCTTAGCAAATGTCAGTCGCCATTTTGACCAACTTTCGAAGGTAGGAGATACATTTTCCAAGGTGTTTACAAACCAGCCATCTTCTGAATACGATCTAATCGGATACCTTCAGGGGGGAAAAATTCACGAAAGCCAAGACCATGTAAAAGAGAATAAAATATCGGAGGAAGTTTGGAACTATTAACCTTATTTGGCAGCCAGCCTTGGTTTACTGGATTTGAATATCGTTCATTCAGCGTCAAAGGTTACCTACGTGAGGTTAACATGGTCTTATTTACCATTGCTAACTGCTTATACAGAAATGTTACCCAGGGGCCATAACTCTTACTGAAAGAGAAAGACAGACCGGTGGAACTACAGACAATACAAAAAGAAAGAAAGAAAGTGTAAGGTCGGGTATCTTTTTTGAAAGGTCAATTTTATTTGTCATTGGATAAGCTGAAATCATTTTTCCGAGAACACGAAGCAAACCGTTGGACAATTGTTTTTTTCTTTTCTTTCTATTCACCATCGTGAATAGACTTTCTTGTTCACACGTTTCTATCGTGTCTTCTGTTACCTCAAGCGAGGTAATGTAGATAAAATTATTCCATAATTCGCTGTCATACGTTCATCTATATGCCGTACCTCTTCAGGATCAGGATCATGGCTCTCCACACCTCCCTGTTGTTTGTAGGTCTTAATATACTTTGTCTTTTTAATTTTTTCTAAACCCTGTTCTTGCATTCATTTGAACAAACTCCTCCTCCCTCCCTCCCTCCTCCTCCTCCTCATCCTTCTTCTTCTTTTTGTGTCGTATCTCTTTCAGGACGTTG